TAGCCTATTCAGGTTAAGCTTAATAATTAGCTTAATTGTTGAATGTTTTGGATAAATCATATATATGCTTGACCATAGACATAACAGATCTAGGCTACAATCTAGATATATACTTAGTAAATCTTCATTTAATAATATCTAATGATATCCACCCAACTAAAAAATGAACCTTTATTTCGACCAGGGGCCTTGCCTAATATAAGAAACTTCTTGGGAGTGGTCTTAATGTTAACAGACTGATTTTTTCTCGGATAACATGGGCTGATATTATTAATAATTATTCAAGCTATTTTGATGTTTACTTTTTAAAAACTATGAAACTGTTCACTTACCTTCAAGATGTGTACTTTATGACACACAATAGAACGACATCAACATTTCGAGTTCCTTGGTTCTCTCTTCTACTTACTACTACTACTATTGGAATTAGAAGAATCAGACAGAATCAGACTCGAAGGAAAGCTGTTGGCTGTTGCTGTTAGTTGTCTTGTCACTGTCAGTTCCATTCCAGTTGTCGTTGTCAGTGTTACGAGTAGTGTTGGTTGTTGGTTGAGTTTGACAGTGTTGTCAGTTGCAGTGTTGCCAGTTGCCAGATAGGCCAGAATAAGTTGGATAGCGCTGGGTTCACAACGATATGGTAGGCATTCGGTATCGAGCACCGTCGTGAAGTTAGCGGCTCTTTTCATCGGCGCTTTTTCGGTTTGTAATAGATGTGGGTTGGTACTCCTGCGGACGCCACAACCGTGTTTTGCAGGGATGTCGGAAACAAAATTCAATGACAATACGGTGCGAAATGATGTTTTTATATTTATATAATGTCAATAATACATTAATAAAACGTGTATACAAGTTAAAACTAATTAATTGACGTATTTTAAAAGGCATATTTGAGACCGTAGTGTACATTATACGTAGCTATGGCTTAACATAACGCGATCAATTAAAACTCCGAACATAAAAAGTGCATGATCTTTTTTCCCAAGCCCATCACATCAACTTTGAGCTATTCTAATGGTAATATACAATGTGTAGAATACTCAGTATAAATATGATTGGGGCAGTAAAGTGAATTACGAAGCTATAAGGCAAAATGTATATGGTTGATAGTAACTCGTATCAGGAAAAAGTGCACAATCTTTTTCCTAAGCCCATCACATCAACTTTGAGGTATTCTAATGGTAATGTACAATGTGTAGAATAATCAGTATAAATATGATTGAGGCAGTCCAGTGAATTACGAAGCTATAAGGCAAAATCTATATGGTTTATAGGAATTTGCGTCAGGAAAAGTGCACAATATTTTTCCTAAGTCCATCACATCAACTTTGAGGTATTCTAATGGTAATATACAATGTGTAGAATAGTCAGTATAAATATGATTGAGACAGTCTAGTAAATTACGAAGTTATCTGGCAAAATGTATATGGTTGACCTAACTTGAATGTATATGGTTGAATAATCATGCTCTAACCACACGATCACAGGCGATAGGATATAGACGAATACCCATACATCTATCCTCTCGCCTGTGATCGTGTGGTTCATTGAGGTAAGTAAGTGAGTTTACTTTACTCAAGGAAGCCTTAAATGTCTAATGGTAGTCCATCATAATATTATTATGGTATAACGTCTTATTCGTCTGTTGTTTATAACATATTACCATAAACTAACAAACTTAGCGTAGGGAAAAAAGATTTAATTCAACCAAGGTCAGGGGCTTCATAAGGAAGTGTTGAAATTGAAAACGGCGCCACGCCCGGCTTGGAATTTCTCCCCGAGACTACAAAAAAAGTATGAAATACATGGGCTGACGGGGCCGTCTCACAGCTTTTGATCTAGCGCTGACCGACATGGTTTCGCTCCCGTCCCTACTTTCTCTCCCTATAGTGTCACCGTGCGAACACCTGTTAACAACCAACCCTTAAGGAAAACCCGAGACAGCGGCATCTCTTTGACGTTCGTTGATTCGTAGCTGCTAGCCAAGAATTTACAACCCCAGACATATTTCGGCGTTTTCCAAAGACGACCTCCTTAGCTCTCAGTCCATCAGAAGAGGTCGGTAACAAGGTTATAAATATAAATTCACATTGATTTATTCGTCACTACAGTTTTTGCAATCATGACAAAATAATAGAATATTTGTCGGTTTTCCCAATTTGAATACATTTGTCCAGTCTCTGTACGATCAAACTCGTATTTAACTGTAATCAAATAAAAACAAAACTAATTCATTTATTTAAATTCAATCAAGTCGTTTTATTTAGGTTAGTGAACACCAACATCACTTCGTATATAAACCACGTTTAGGGCTCAGGATTCAGAATAGTAACTAATATATAAACTAACTTAAAGGTTTTGACGAAAACAATGCCAACGTAACTTTTGCCGGTAGCAATAGGCTGCGTTTGGAAATATTGATATATATGGAATAAGTTACTGAAATATAATTCAATGTACTATGTGTAAACTTCAATATTGATACTACTGTATATGAAAAATCAAAATCAAGTAGTTTATCAAGAATTGAACTTATCTCAAAGTAGTTCAATACATCATAAACAACACGGTGACTGACCAATTTTATGTTTAATTTTTATTTTAATATCTTTTATTGGTAAGGACATATTTTGTATCCCATATCACTGGAAACGGGATACAAAATATATCCTTACCAATCATTACAAGCAATACATGCTTTTAAGGCGACAACATACGGTTCAATAATGAAATTGTTGTCTACCATTTTTGGGTGAAGGTTGAATGCTGCGATAGCACCCTGGCCAACGTCAATTAATTAGTTTTAACTTGTATACACGTTTTATCAATGTATAATTGACATTATATAAATATAAAAACATCATTTCGCACCGTATTGTCATTGATTTGTGTTTCCGACATCCCTGCAAAACACGTTTGTGGCGTCCGCAGGCGTACCAACCCACATCTATTACAAACCGAAACTTTTCCTGACGCAAATTCCTATAAACCATATAGATTTTGCCTTATAGCTTCGTAATTCACTGGACTGCCGCAATCATACTCATACTGATTATTCTATACATTGTATATTAGCATTAGAATACCTCAAAGTTGATGTGATGGGCTTAGGAAAAAGATTGTGCACTTTTCCTGACGCAAATTCCTATCAACCATATAGATTTTGCCTTATAGCTTCGTAATTTACTGGACTGCCGCAATCATACTCATACTGATTATTCTACACATTGTATATTACCATTATAATACCTCAAAGTTAATTTGATGGGCTCAGGAAAAAGATTGTGCACTTTTCCTGATGCGAGTTCCTATCAACCATATACATTTTGCCATATAACTTCGTAATTTACAGGACTGCCGCAATCATACTCATACTGATTATTCTACACATTGTATATTACCATTAGAATACCTCAAAGTTTATGTGATGGGCTTAGGAAAAAGATTGTGCACTTTTCCTGACGCGAATTCCTATCAACCATATAGATTTTGCCTTATAGCTTCGTAATTCACTGGACTGCCGCAATCATACTCATACTGATTATTCTACACATTGTATATTACCATTAGAATACCTCAAAGTTGATGTGATGGGCTTAGGAAAAAGATTGTGCACTTTTCATGACGCAAATTCCTATCAACCATATAGATTTTGCCTTATAGTTTCGTAATTCACTGGACTGCCGCAATCATACTCATACTGATTATTCTACACATTGTATATTAACATTAGAATACCTCAAAGTTGATGTGATGGGCTCAGGAAAAAGATTGTGCACTTTTCCTGATGCGAGTTCCTATCAACCATATACATTTTGCCATATAACTTCGTAATTTACTGGACTGCCGCAATCATACTCATACTGATTATTCTACACATTGTATATTACCATTAGAATACCTCAAAGTTGATGTGATGGGCTTAGGAAAAAGATTGTGCACTTTTCCTGATGCGAGTTCCTATCAACCATATACATTTTGCCATATAACTTCGTAATTTACTTGACTGCCGCAATCATACTCATACTGATTATTCTACACATTGTATATTACCATTATAATACCTCAAAGTTGATGTGATGGGCTTAGGAAAAAGATTGTGCACTTTTCCTGATGCGAGTTCCTATCAACCATATACATTTTGCCATATAACTTCGTAATTCACTGGACTGCCTCAATCATATTTATACTGAGTATTCTACACATTGTATATTACCATTAGAATACATCAAAGTTGATGTGATGGACTAAGGAAAAAGATTGTGCACTTTTTCCTGATGCGAGTTCCTATCAACCATATAGATTTTGCCTTATAGCTTCGTAATTCACTGGACTGCCTCAATCCTATTTATACTGAGTATTCTACACATTGTACATTACCATTAGAATACCTCAAAGTTGATGTGATGGGCTTAGGAAAAAGATTGTGCACTTTTTCCTGATACGAGTTACTATCAACCATATACATTTTGCCTTATAGCTTCGTAATTCACTGGACTGCCCCAATCATATTTATACTGAGTATTCTACACATTGTATATTACCATTAGAATAGCTCAAAGTTGATGTGATGGGCTTGGGAAAAAAGATCATGCACTTTTTATGTTCGGAGTTTTAATTGATCGCGTTATGTTAAGCCATAGCTACGTATAATGTACACTACGGTCTCAAATATGCCTTTTAAAATACGTCAATTAATTAGTTTTAACTTGTATACACGTTTTATTAATGTATTATTGACATTATATAAATATAAAAACATCATTTCGCACCGTATTGTCATTGAATTGTGTTTCCGACATCCCTGCAAAACACGTTTGTGGCGTCCGCAGGAGTACCAACCCACATCTATTACAAACCGAAAAAGCGCCGATGAAAAGAGCCGCTAACTTCACGACATTTATCGACCTTGTTTTCTACCGGATGACAGACATCGACTAGTATCGGCTCTCGGCTCTGGCTCACCGGCTGTCTCATGGTGGAAGTAAAATTTCATTAATTTACAAATTTTGTTGTTTATATATGGAGTGTTTTTCTGTTTTTGTATTATTTTACCTGTACTATACTCTATGGTTGTTGTTTGGCGTATTTTTGTGGCAATTTAAGTAATAAAATGAATTTAAGAAGCTTGTCACACATATATATTTATAATTATTAAAAATAGGTAAGCAGTAGCAGTATTCAGTATTAGAGACTAAGGCCTATTTTAAACTTATTTTCTTGTTAGTAAATGAATCTATTCTTTGATAGGAACGTGGATAATCCTACTCTCATTTAGAGGTTAGTTGAAAGATGGAATAATGTGAATATTCACACTGTACTTGTGTACTAGCAATGGTGGTAGGCCTAGGTACTAACTTAGTAAGCGGGATGCAGGTGTTTGTACGATAACTTAAAAATGTCTTAGTATCAACCTGAAATTTTGCACAATGATTTTTCAGAGCAATTTCTCATCTAAGTTCGTTGTTAGAGAATATTGTTCAATAGGCCTAAGGTAAGTTTGGGCACAGAAAACGTACTACTATACCCAGAATGCCAACCGCATGGTAAAAAGCATTAAGCGGTTTGAGAGAGCTTTGCCTGTCAATCCGTAGGCAGCGCCACCAGCGTTGCCATGCAATAGCATAGCAACGCTGGTGGCGCTGCCTACGGATTGACAGGCAAAGCTCTCTCAAACCGCTTAATGCTTTTTACCATGCGGTTGGCATTCTGGGTTATAGTAGTACGTTTTCTGTGGTTTGGGTAAGTTACCTAGGAATAATCCCTATTAACCCTCCGAGTGTCCATAGTTTAGGCCTTAATGTCCGCCTATTTTTGGCACATTTGCAAGGTTTTATTAAAACGGATCTGAGAAGCTTAAAACAATGTTAATTCTACTGTTCTATATACCATTTTGTTTGGAAAATCATGGGCTTCAATATTATATATATAAAACATAAGGAACATTTATTAAAAAAAAGTTTTTAGCCTAGGTAAAAAAAAATATTTTGGAAAATTAAAAAAAAAAAAATTAGTTCGTGCTCAATGAAATTGTAATAGGCCTAAGTATAAATATTTGAAAATAGCCACTTTGTTCTAAATTTTATGAGGATTACAAATATATAATCATACTAGCTGACCCGGCGAACTTCGTATCGCCTAAGTTATAGGTTTCCCCTAAGACAGACCGATGGAAAGAAAGTACCGTTACGTTTAATTTTCAAGATGATCTCGTTCGCATCGCTCAATCACGTCCTGGTTGAAGTTCGTTCGCTACGCTCACTCACCTTTGGGTTGGAGCTCGTTCGCTACGCTCACTCACCTTTAGGTTGGAGCTCGTTCGCTACGCTAACTCGCCTCCAGGTTGAAGTTCGTTCGCTACGCTCACTCACCTTTGGGTTGGAGCTCGCTCGCTACGCTCACTCACCTTTAGGTTGGAGCTCGTTCGCTGCGCTCACTTGCCTTCAGGTTAGCTCGTTCGCTACGCTAACTCGCCTCCAGGTTGAAGTTCGTTCGCTGCGCTCACTCACCTTTTGGTTGCAAATTAGCTGTTGTCATAAATGTAAAAGAAATAATAGTGCTGCACCCTGATGGTAATCCTTGTAACTTTAATGCTATTGAACATCATAGAACAGAACCAACTTGTTTAATTGAAACAGCTGTTAAGATTCATTAATTCCATTTCTCATAAGGTTAACATGGGAAACTCCAGAGCCACTGGGGCGGAGCCCTTTTAAGAATTTCGAAACGGGAAATAGTTTACGTCCGATTCGCATACCTACAGAATTTACACACCAAATTTCATAACGATCGGTGAAGTCGTTCCGGAGGAGTTTGCAGACAAACACTGTGACACGAGAATTTTATATATTAGATAGTGAGGTAAGTTATCAAATAAATAAGTTATGAGTGAAAAACAGATTTCAGTACATAGCGTTTAGCTAAGAATGCATAGCCTAACCATAGCTAGGAATCTGGCTGATAATTTACATCAATATCACTACCTAACTTACTTCTTCAGGATCATCAACCAGCCCTTCAAAATCACTTAAATCTTCTTATAATGCACCACGTATATCACTACTTTTGATTTTTAACACTAAAACAATGATAAACGTAATAAAACACATCAGTCATCGGTCCGAGGTTAACCAAGCTGTTTACAAATACACTCGTCAGCTGTCTGCTACAATATTTTCGGAACTAAAATGAAAAGCGCTTAGAGACTGACCTCCGGAGAAAGCTTAGAATCTAACAAAAAGAACGATACCTAACTCGATCCAGTTCAATCCGATTCAGTCAGTCATAGAGCCTTCGCCGTAAATGATGTTCGTGTGTCGAAAAATCGACAAGTGACACTACACAAAGTGTGTCGTGAGTCGATTTTTCGACAAGTGACGCTCGGAGGGTTAATAACTTAGGCCTGCAAGAACAGTGGCATACCCTGGCCCCACACCCGGTTTGAAACCCCCTCTAGACCTTAAAACTTCATATTTTACAATAAAAATTTTTGTTCTAGGACTATTTACAACCAAAAATTATCTTTCATATGACTCTAAATAGGTAAGTCCGGTACACTTCCATATCTGTTGGCACAAACAAACGAATGAAAATATCGATTGATAATTTGATTATTCAATATATTGTTTGGTTAGTTAGGTTAGGTTAACCTAACCTAACTAACCAAACAATAACTTATATCAAATTAAACAATCCAATAGGCTAATCAATATTAAGTTTACTCATTCGGTTGTTTGTACCAACAACCTGTGCCTAAACTTATCAAAACGAATTCACACAAAATTAATTTCCCAGGCCTGTGAAAAATGAGGGTTAAAAAGAGATCAAGAGAGATGATCACCAGACTAAAACGTAGGAAAAGAAGACTGGAACGTGGGAAACAAATACTAGAAAGCTTAATAAATGAACTACGTGAAAAGGTCAACAATAAAAATATGCAAGAGACAAGCTTGTATGAGTAAGTCAATTTATGATTTCAAGAAGTCTTATCAATCTTTTCTTTATTTTATTTTGTGTGTTTTTACGCCAGTGGCATTTTAGCGAATTTCCCTATAGGGAAGTAGCTATTACCGTAGGTCTCATGGTAAGACTTAGGCCCGGGACCGATTTACTTTTTCATTTTAATGTCCCCAGAGGCCAAAAACACCATTCGTTCAAATTTTTATATATGTATATATATATATATATATATAGGTATATATATATATAGATTTATATATATATATGTGTCCGTGAACACGATAACTTGAGTAATTTTTATCCGATTTTGATGAAATTTGGTTTGAAGGTGTAAGGCGGGATAAACTTGAATGAGTTCGCGATCCAGCATGATCGGACCATGGGAACAGGGTTTAATGGGGGGTTTTATGGGGTAAAAATTGGTTTTTCTCACCTTTTACCCTCAAAACACAAAATTCCCCAATTTTTCTCTAAACCTTCTTAAAGAGCTTAAAAAAACAAACAATTCAGTATATCAAAGTGTTTTTGTACGGTTATTGGTTACGGAGAAAATTAAAAAAATGATAAATTTAAAATTCCCATGTTATTCTTATGGAGAATATTGTAAAATGTTGTAGTTTGCTTGTTTATGGATATATTTTGATCAAACTTGGCAAATTTATTTATTTTATAGTAAGCTATCAATATTTTACTAAAAACACACTACTTTATTAGTTTCCTTGTAGCAGCAAACCTAGGTACTCGTTAAACCTAATGTTATTTAAATAGATCAATTGAAAATCAATTCGGCCAAATGGAAATTCGCTTAGACGGCAGGTTTGCTGCGGCGGGGGTATTTTATAATTACAACCTTATGATAATTACACCATTAAATGGATGAATATTCACATTACTCCACCTTTATAAGATATTAGTTTTTATTTTACATTATTTTTCACAATAACTTAATTTAGGCCTAGGCCTAACTTTTTTTATCTAAGTTTTGTAGTTAAGGGCATTATTTCATTTTTAAATAGCTTACCACGTCATAAGCATTGCTTTTGTTAAATTTAACAATATATTTAAAAGTTACTTAGTTGTAGGATACAACACCTGCATATTGCGCTTAAGTTAGCACTTGAAGTTACAGGCTTTTGTCCTCAATATTTAAGTTACACAGCACTGTGAGTTCCCGATTTACCCAGTTCTAATTCATCAGGGCGCGTTGGACTAAAAGTTTGCATTGCTTATAAACGATTAGTCAAGGCACTAATGTTTCTCATTTGGCTTGGTTTAGATGATCAAATCCAACAGGGTCTGACATAATTTCGTACCGGTGCCTATTATTTAACTGAAGTAAGTAACCTAACCCGCGCCAAATCCTCCAATTCCATTTACATAACCACCCATTAACCACAAAATTAGGTATGTAGCAAACCTGTGTTTACAATAAGTTAACACTACCAGTGCCTCTAGTTCTACCACCGGCCAGGCTACAAAATGGCAGGACCAACCGGATGACAGATGTATAAGGTAAAGTTATTCCAATAAATTAATTTCAATACTTAAAAATCAACAAATAACCTTGTTTTAATATTTGTTTAGGCTACATTAATTTCCAAAATTAATCTTTAAATACATATCTTCCTGAATTGTCTTGTTGTTTCCACTTAATGATACCTTTTTGAAACACTGAACTGATACCCCCATAAGAATGCCGAGTCTTTGCTCCAGTTTAACAAGACCGTATTTTTTATTTTATTATTTTTGATGTGCAATTGATCGGGTAAGCACCCTTCAACTAAACTGACAAATTAACTACAAGATCGCGCCACTCATCCTACACTCATCTTCATTCAGACTTGGCTTAAAATACATTCGTATGGTTGCCATTTCAATGTAAAGTATTAAAGTATTAAATTGTTTACTTCTACCGGGAACTTAACATTCTTGAATCCTGTCGAAGGTCATTCGCCCTTAACGATGTGACTCATCCCAATGAGACTGGCCGGGCTATCCGGTGGACGATCCAACTGAAGTTGATATAGAAGGAGTCTACTGTATAGGCTAAATATGCCATCTAAAATTTGTCAATAATCACAACTTTTACAGGGTTCCCATAGACTTGGAAAGTCAGGGTAACTGGTATACAGTCACTGTCAGGGAAAGTTAAAAAAAACCCAAGTCAGGGGAGTATTTAAAATAATGTAAAGTGAGGGAAATTAACTAGAAACGTTAATAGATCCCAGTCCAAGTTTTTGGATGATTAATTATATTTAAATGAGATAGTTGCTGAAGAGATTTATCTTACGTACAAGTTTTAAAAAAATCTGCTGTTGTATGTCAATTTTTATTACAAATTTTTTGTTTGATTGAGAGTTGTAAGTATTTAGATTTAGAATTCTTATTTATTATTAGGCTATATATGTTATTACCCCCGCTGTAGTACAAACCTGCAGACCAAGCGAATTTCCATTTAAATACCTAGGCCTACTTGGCTGGATTTCTACTAAAATATGCCCTCAAAATTGTCAGATTTATTTCCTATTCAAATAACATTAATTTTGGTAAGTAGCCTACTTAGGTTTGCTGAAATAAAGAACGTAATGAGGAGTGTCTTTTATTGAAATCTTGATAGCTTAGTATGAAATAAACAAATTCGACAAAACAAAATACAGTAGTAAGTAAATTAGTCGTGGGTCTAGGTTTTACCATGAGACCTGCAGTAGGCCTAATAGCATATTTCCTATTGGAAAATCGCTAAAAGTAGGTGTAAATAGTGTAAATAAATCACCCTTTCATGAACTACCCTCATAATATAGGCTAAAGTTGGTATTCCCTATGGCTTTAGTCTGCAAGGTTGCCCTGTTTTATTGCTTATTGTATCTAACCTGCCTTATGATCTTTGACCACAATATCCATAGGCCAAAAACCATAAACCAATTTACATAAGGCAGGCCTGTAAAAAATACCTAGATTAAAAAGGAAATCAATGGAAATTATGAAATGATGGTTTACCATAAACCAATTTTCCTGATTCCTTAGACTGGTGAAAGATGCCTAGATTAAAAAGGAGATCGATAGACATGGTCAACGCCCTTCAACGTAGGAAAAGAAGACTGGAACGTGGGAAAACAATACTAGAAAGCTTAATAAATGAACTACGTGATAAGGCCAACAATAAAAATATCCAAGAGACAAGCTTATCTGAGTAAGTCAATTTTTTATTTGAAGCCATATCAGTTAATATAAAAATTATATTGATAAATGGATTAATATTTGCATTAGGCCTACTTTACTTTTTATATGTAGGCTATTTTTATTTTACTAGTGTCCCTGTTGCTCGAATTTGAGCAATTGTTAAGTATTACAGGCGTTATTTTAAAACGAATAACAGTCATAATTTCTGATGACTTTACAAGATTCGACTCAAAGATTATGGAAATACTCAAGATGTAAATAACAGATTGATATAATCAACATTTCTTGTAAATAAGATTTCCATAGTTTGCAAATCGGCACTCTCAATGATTAAGAAATACAGCACAGTATTAATTCAGTTTTCTTTTTAGTATATCAATTTATCCAGGCTCTCTCACTTTTTTCCATTGTAGCCATTGCAACGAACAATGGCTAGTTTTGAAATCTTCAGTCCAAAGGACGTCTTTTGGTTAAAACTACTAACAGTTCACGACATATACGACACAAACACGCACACGAACGAACATTACATTTAACGAATAATGCTGGTATTTACCCACATAGCACCAAATATTTATTTGATATCAAATAGCTATCAAATTTTTGACATTTGAATATCAAATTGATATTCACGAACATTCGTTTGATATCAAATAAACGTTCAATTTAGGTTCAAACGTCACTCAATTTTACATCAAATAAATATTCAAATTGAATATAAAATAAATATCAAATTTGACATTCATAAATTTATTGGTAAAATATAATAAAGAGAATATGATTGAATTTACATTCACATTTTAAATATGATGGTGATAAATATTGATATAACATTTTTGACATTCGAATATTAAATTAATATTCGCGAACATTCATTTGATATCAAATAAATGGTCAATTTAGGTTCAACCTCACTTAATTTGACATTAAATAAATATTAAATTGAATATCAAATAAATGTCTCATACATTTATTGGTAAAATATGTTAAGAAGAATTAGGTTGCATTTTTTTCACATTTCAAATTTCATGGCGATTAAAATAATATCAGTTCAGACTTCTTTACTGTTCTTACCTTGATTTGACTTATTATTCTGAAGTTATAGGTAGTTTGTTAAAGTTCTTGGGTGACCCAAAAATGTAAATATATATATATATATTTCTTATTTGACAAAACATTAACAAAAGTATCACAAAACATATTTGTTTAAAACAAAATTGCATTCAAGGAAAACATTTTAAAGAAAAAAGTTTGTTTGTATGATAAAATAAGTTTAATTAAAAATTATTTAAACACAAATATAAAAAAGATATGTACAATTTACAAAAAAAATAATTCTGGTCTTCTTCATCTCCCAAATGGCCTTCTTGAGTTTTCTATTGTTCCTGTAAAAGAGGTTCAACAGAGTTATTTTCTAAGACAGCTATAGATAAAATATAATATGTTAGACAAGGGGTCTCCAACCCTTTTTCCTCGGTGAGCACTTTTTTGTCTAAAAACGCCACCGATTTAGCGACTAACGTTAATTGTTCGCTACTCTATCGAATCACAACATCATCTACTATCGATGCGATTGTAGTTGTCGTTTGTCACAAGGTAAAGGCTTTTTGTGATACGGACGAAATGAGAGCATTCTATTATAAAATTAAAATGTCGTAACCTAACCAAATTAACCAAACTTGCTGATTGTGAAAAAATTGAATTAAGGTTTACTACGGACAAAATGAGAGCATTCTATTATAAAATTAAACTGTCATAAGCTAACCTAACTTGCTGATAATATAAAAAATATACAAGATAAAAATTGAATGAAGATTAGATTTAACAAGGTTAGGTTTCCAGCCATGGAGAAGGTAAAAAGTTTTTTTGAGCATACATCAATAGTATAGGATAAGAGTAAGTAAATAAGTTTGCCAAATTTTATCAAAATCTATCCATAAACAAATAAACTACATAGTTTCCTTTTTTAATAATCTAAAATATAGTTCTGTTCATAAAATAAAATTATAAATGCCTCTAATTCTAACGAAAGATGTGCAATTAAGAAGTAATCACATTCTAAGCTAAATCTTTGACAAAAAGTTCAATGATTTTTTAGTGAGAATAGGCTATAAAATTTGACACTTAAAATGTCAGCTAGTTTAAGATTTCAATTTGTAGTTCTGCCAATTAGGATCAATTAAAAATATATATATTTAAATTAATCTGCCGCTACTTGACTACTACTTATATTCCCCTAGGCCTATTGAGAAAAAATTAGCAAGTGAGAGACATTTACTATGTTCCTATTTAAATACGTTAACCTGCCAACTTGGAGACAGGGTATTGTACACAAATTTTGTTGAATGGGGAAGAGACAGTTAATTGCTCTTAATTATGGTATGAGCCGCGAGGTAAATAAATATCCCATGGCTGAGCCTGCATTCATTGACAAAGTTCTCTTTTTACACCTCAAGGAAATCAAGGTCAACAATGAAGGGTGTTGCTGGGATTGCAAAAGACAAATTTGGCACCGTCGAGACTGCAGTATAATATGCTCGTGAGTCTTGGCGAGATCACGGGAGATGATCACGATATAGCTGAGACCACCTGACCACACGTGTTTACGCAATCGTGGGAGAATATAATTGGTGTTTGCTATAAAAAATAATAATTTTCAAAAACGTATGCTGGCTTTCTGCTGGCTGGAATAAAACTGCACGAGGGCCGGATGTAGCCCACAGGCTGTAGGTTGGAGTCCCCTTCGTTAGGCATTTTTAAGACCTATTTTTTTACTATACCTGTACTTTATAATTAAATTTGTCGATAAGGCATTGAGTTCTTGACAATAAAGAAAAAAGAGATGGATAAAACCGCAGATTAAGTTTTGCTCATTTGCATAGCCTGTCACTGAAAATTCACAATTTGAAAAGAAAACATCACAGTAGTTAGATGTCGGCCTAATCTGTTAATTATAATAAAATTTAAGTTCTATATTAGGTAATTAGATAAGCAATCTTTTCTTTAACCTAAATTTTAAATAACACAATAAATTTACCTTGCATCAATCCTAAACTTTGCTGGGCGAAGCCAATTCTTGATTATAGTAGCAACAACATATATTTCCATTACACCACGATCCTAGTGTTCTTGCGTACCGGTTCTGCCTCTGTATAAAAGAGATTAGTATTAGCACTAGAATTTGTATATATTTTAATTTTCCTGATCAACACCCAGGATAGCCTACAACTAGGTACACATATTAAATTGTTAGTGAAATCTATTTTATATTTTGATGGCATTTGCTTCTTTTGAGTAGCCTTGTTAAAGCTAAATCTAAATCTGAAAATTGAAAATTTTGACCTAGGTAGTGGTAAAAGTAATCCTCAGTCACTTGAACGGACAAATATTGGGGTGAGCACTGACTGAAATGAGTGCAACGGTCGGATGTAGTTTGGTGTGTGTATAGGCCTATGTGTGCGTTTAAAAAAAATTCAACTAATACAGTTTTCTTTTACACAAGTTAGCACTGCCGGAATATTTATATAGTGTAAATCAAAGACTTCCTATATAAGTGGGTCACAAAAAAGAGAAACTCTCTTAACTGTGTGATGAACCTTAGGCTACGTTATTACCCAATAGGTACCTATCATGAATTAGGTTGTGTTTTGGTGGTAGAGCCTAACTTATCTACAGTTCCTAAGAGAACCTGCGATATATTATCGGACGGTATATATATCTGATTTGATATTAATATTGCAAAACTAATTCACCAAATCTGCAAATCATAACTCAATTTGATGTTTACATAGTGAAAAAACATAGGGAACGATGTATTGAATCGGATAATTATTGATATATAATGTTATTCATCCGATAATATATCGCAGGTTCTCTGCGTAACTGTACCCGTTATGGCAAAAAAGACATACACAGTCATGGCGAATCAAACAGAAAAATTGAAATAAAAACACCTAAGATTGAAACTTTATTTTAACTTATTTTAACTTTGAGAAAACCTAATTGAAATATATGTATGTCTACCTATTATTAATGTCTGATTGTAAATAAAAAAAAAACTTACGCAAGATAGCTGGCTTCAGATGCAGATTGCAAAAGAAAAATTTATTCCTCCTTCCCAGCCTACAGGCTGCTAGACAGCCACTTTGTCAATCGGGAGAATTGGTACCGTAGGCAAATTATTCACTGCTACCAAATAATAACTTCCACCAAAGCTGCAGAGTTATCAACTGAAACAATGGAGAGAAAACTACTTTTAGTTAAATTCATGCATACCTTTCTCTGGCCTAAATATGTATCAAGATTAGTTAGGCCTAATCATTGGTTGGTAAAGGAAGCAGACAACAACTAAAATACAAAAGAATAAGGACAATACAGGGGTAGACTTTCGTATCTGTTGTCAAAAACAACCGAATGAAAATATCGATCGTTATAGCCTATGTTCATTCAGTTGTTTTTGACAACAGATACGGAAGTGTACCCCAATTCAGTTTAAAAGGAAAATGGATTTCAAATAGGCTAGGCTATTTCTTTTATAATACCGGTAAATTGTAACCTGGTTGAGGTAGAATATGTTAGGCCTAGGCTAGCCTAAATTAAGTTAACTTATTCTTGATGGTGAATTTACATAAACTTAAGTTAGTGACTGACGTAAAATATAACCCACATAACTTAGTAATATTTCAAAATTAGCCTAACAAGGTATTACAACACAGTATGGTATTCCATTTGCCTTGTAAACCAGTAAGTTAGTCCTACTTACTAGCCTATATATTGAACACTATTTTCATCCGGAAGTTGCCCTTTGAAGCTAAATAAACTACTGGTTCAGTAAGAACTAAGCAAGCCGCCTAACTTAGTAGCTTACGCCTAGGCCTAATTAGTATGCAGAAAAATACTTCCTCTAAAACAGATTGCCTATTTTGAGGTTTCAGATTTATCTATTTATACTTAAGTTAAGGCATTAGGAATGATAAGTTGGCCAATTTAATTTGTACAGTAGCTTAACTTAGGTCTAGGTAAGGCCAAGGCCTAAAATACGTCTATGTTACTAGGTATAGTGACTTATACTTACATACTCCAAGGATCAAAACGTGAAAAGATGTTCGGTGTAGGTTATACCAATACCCAGTCACAAAAATAACAACTCTAAACTAACAGTGACACACACTAAACAAAATATCAGCACACTTTGAGGTTATGTCTTGTTCTTGAATCTTGATACTCTTGTTGCTTCCATAGTTTATTTTCACTACTTGTGTAGCCTACTCAACAAGTTAGTTGTCATAGGTACATTTTACATAAATCGTGTACTTTCCCTCATTCCCTCAAAATGGGCAATTTGTTGGTTAATAAATAAATAAATCCACACCGTGAGTAAACTGGCCACCACTGGTCGCGCGACGGATTTTGTAATTTGTTTTGTTTTGTTTGCTGAGTTAGGTTAGAATTAAGTTGGTGTTTTGTCTTCAGTCTTCCTCTCTTCCTTTCATACGAATGGGCCAAGTCAAGCTCAAACTAGATACTTAACATATTTTTAGAGTTATATTACACTTAAAAAAATTTAAATTTACGTTTGGTTTAATTTACTAGTAAAAATAAAATGATAAGGCCAATCGTTAAGAGTTTGACTTTTTTATTAATAAACAAAACTTTTAAAAAAGCTGTGTTTCCTATTCACTCTTCTTGAAATGTGTAGTAAGCCTAGATTCAGAAAAATATCAGATGTTCCAACAACTCCCCCCCCCCCACGAAAAGTCAAAATCCATCATCAATTAATTAAAAATTACAGTGTTCAGTGTTTCTTCCTATTATTAATTATTTTGAGATAATTGACCTCCGACCTCCATGTTACAAGTAGGCTGGGGACTAATTCTTTACTCTAAAAAATTTAAAAAGTTAAATCTAAAAATTTTTAAAACTAGTATATTTGGAAATTTTTAAAGAGAAAATCAAATTTTTAACATTAAGAATATTTAGGCTAGATAATATTCTAAATTTGATGTTATTTGACTTTGATATTTTGAAGATACAATAAATATTCAAAGTTTGACATTGTTTGACTTTGACATTTTGAACATTAAATGAATATCAAATAAATATCAAATTTTTGATTTGACATAGTTTGATATATTGAACGTTTATTTGATATCAAATAAATATTCTGTGCTATGTGGGTATAGATAGACAAAATTTTTGTAGGTTCACCGGCTGCGACGCGTGACATCCAAGCCACAACTAACTAGATCGTTCAAGTGGCCTATCTGACCTTTGTCCTTGGTATTGTGTTTATCCTTGTCGTATAGGATGCCTAATAAGATGTCTAATATAGGATTATATTTTGAAAACATCGGCTATCAATGCTCATCCCTAATAAGTACTCGTTCATCTATCCACTGTAATCAGTCCCTGATATGCTTAAGGAAATATTTAAGTGAAAATCCAATCAGGCAAATGGAAATTAGCTTATTCAGCAGTTTTGCTGCTGCAGGAGTAATTTTATTTTATGACTTGAATAATAATTGTACAGCCAGTTTACACATTTGCACACCTAAGGCCCGGTTCACACAAACGACAAACCTAGTAGACTAGGCTTAAGCCGGGTTTACACGATGCCAGTTGGCGAGACAATTGTCAGGAGACAACTGACTGGCTTGGAATTACTGGCTTCGTGTAATTGGCAAGCCAATTGGCCCGCCAACTGTCCCGAAATTCAGTTGTCTCCGGGAGTAGACTGAGGACAATGAGCTGGGCCCAGTGAGACCCCCACCCCTCGAAAACCCAGTTGTCGTGACAATTGGCACCGTGTAAACGGTGTAGAGGCCAATAGCACTGTCTTGTCTTTTAGCAGTAGTACCCTGGTTCACTGTAAAATGTCTGGGCAAGTGTTGGCCACGTGTGAACAGGTTCTCGTTCAACTTGCCTGGGCTACGACAATTCCAAAACCACGTGATGCCAATTGGCAAAGACAATTGTCTTGCCAACTGGCATTGTGTAAACCCGGCTTTAGACTAGGTAAGCACGACTGGGTAGCGGACCACAGGATCAAATGGAGCCGTTCACACGGGCCTAGGACGCCGAATAGCTAGTCGTGTTCGAGCTTGATGTCCCAAAACCTAGTCGGGCCCCGCTTCCCAGTCCGTCGTGGCAACTACCCAGTCGCCCCGGAGTAGCCTTATGGGAGCGTTCACACGAGCGATCGGGTAGTCGAGCTGCAGCTCACATTCTTACCTTTGTTCTCATTGTACACCATTGATGGAACCGAGTGGTTTTGATATCGATATTTTCTCCTAGTCCGTGGACATGTCGCTCGTGTGAACCGGTGTGATCCTGTGGTCCGCTACCCAGTCGTGCTTACCTAGTGCTTACCTAGTCTAAGCCTAGTCTGCTAGGTATGTCGTTTCGTGTGAACCGGGCCTAAATGTGTCTTTAAAAGTCCAATACAGTATGTGGGGGTTAGCGTAAGAACAAAAAAGCCTTATTGGAAGCAAAGTTGCGTGTTGTATGCAATGCAAGTATCTATGAATATAGATGGATAGAATACTGTTTATTGAATATGTTTGTGTTTATCAGATTTGGATTGTTTGTTGATCATTCAACATATTCAGTGCATTAGATCAATGAAGGTTTGAGAAAACAGTTAGATTCTAGAAATAATTTAAACTCCTTTTCATTATATGATGGTGAACCGATCTGTAGGCACTGTGATAGGTCAGAAGAGACAGCCGATCACCTACTCTTTGATCGTAACGAGCTCTCTGATGCTAGAATGATAACTCTTGGGAATCTGGCTAGAGGAAGATATCTTCCCGAGGATGAACTTAGTGGGAAGCTACAGGCATTCATTGGACGCCTTAACTTGTAAGGTCAACAAGAAAACAATTGTCTGGGGTGCGCAATAATTCGATTTCGGATGAAGTGCTTAAAGGTCTCGACCTGCCCCTGTAAGATAAGATAGGACTCCTTTTCATAAATATAAGTAAAGAGAATTAATTAAGTGAAATGAATAACATTTTTCTTGCACTATTGATTTTAAACCATGGGGCTCTGGCAGACGGCCATATTACAGTCATGTTACACAAACACTCAGAGGTTTTTTATAAAATTGGAGTATATTAACTTTTTTGTGAAACATTTTTTGAATCGGTCGTATGTGGAACTGAAAGCTACCAGCAGGATCTCTACAGCATTGTTTTTTGCTGGGTTGCGTCCGGTAGACTACGTAATAACTTTTTCCTACCACTGCAATTATTACGTAGTCATACCCGTAAACATAACGCAAAATAGCCCATTGCCGCTCTAGAGCGAGAATGGATCATTCCCAGCCACGGATCTGGAACGTTAGTTAAGAACCGGTAAGCAAATAACATAACCTTAAAAAGCAAACATAACCTAAATTAGATTTGATATACATCTCAAAAGTTAATCTGCGTGTTATTATATGGTAGTTTTAGTAGTAGGAAAAATCTTGTGTGTATTACGAGAACAAACAGTCATTGCCGCTTTCAAAATGTACAGCCATCTACAGTTTTCGAGTGGCAATGACGTACTTCAGGTTCTTAATACACAAATCCCTATTATGGCCGTATAGTAGTAGCGATTTCATCAGGTATCTATGGAATTTTGCCCAGTAATTTGGACCCAGGACAACTCTCCTTGACTCCCTTGAGCACAAGACCAAACTGAAACATGCATCCCCCAACAATACCAAGGAAAGGGAGATGTTAGTCTGGTGTTTCAATAATTGGGAGGAATAAAATATGTTTGTTTTTTAACTCGTTTATTTGTTAAGAATTATCAAGAGATTATGGCATTAACTTTTTTTAGTACCTTGGGCTAATTTCATAATAAAGTACAAACTAATATTATTAGTAAATCAGCTGATCGCCCAATGCAAATCTAATGGAAATTACAGGTTACAAGTTGTAACTTGTAACTTGTAGTTTATTATGAAATGGGCCCCTGGTCTAGTTCACAGCAGGGCCGCGTTAAGGGTCAGTGGAGCCCTACATTACATTACATTATTTGTCATGAGAGCCGAAGCCCCCTGACTGCATACCCGGTACCTGTCGTGAGACTTACCCGGGCCCCATGATGTAGGCCGAAGCTTACGCATCAACCTTTTGCACATCATGGGCGGATGACTTAAGGTCATCAGGCTCACCGGCTGCCGAAGCAGACCCTTCGGAAAGAGGGTTGCCCCTCAATCCTAACCAGGGTTTCCGGCTACTTGTTTAAGCGTCACTCCACCTGGGTTCCACTAGGTCGGGACCTAGAGGTCCATGGTAGAGCGCCCCGACGCATTTAGTGCAAGCAACACTCGGGACCTATCTAATCCCTGACAGGCAAGCCCGCCATCAATAGCCAGAAGGAAGGGGACCGTCAGCGTGCTGACGGGGGGAACCCCAACCTCCCATTTACACCACTACCCGATCGAGGCCTTACCCAGTTGCTGGGAAACCAGAGATAACCAGAGCGATAGATCCCCAGATACCCCCGGCGGGCTCGGACCCAGCACCCGATCTACTTCGTTTGCCCGTCAGACCCAACATCACTGCCAGGCCATCAGGGTTTCCCAAAAGGAGGCAGGTATAGAAGTGGGACCCACCCGGATGAACCTATCCACCAGAGGTGGCGACACCCTTGACTCAATTGAGGTTCCGGGAAAAACCCCCCACACTCAAGATAACCATACCGTCCGTGCTCAGAGACAGGGATTGGTTTGCATAAGTGCCTACAAACCGTTGCCCTCACACTGCGGAAAGTTACGTTGCCCTTGAGTGTCCCCGTGAGCTACGGGTACTTGCCCGTTTTCACCTCCAGGAAAGGTTACTTCCAAAGTCGAGGATTTGCCACACTGAATGCTGGTCGCACACAACAAGCAGGCCGAAGCCCAAAGAACCACAGACACAGGTAGGTTAGAGAATATGATGCACTTCCATCTCTCCTAGAGCTAAACACCCCTCCATCCTGGATAGAGGAATGTCACTGGGACCCAATGCCCAGTCGTCCATGTCTGTGGCCTACTTGAAATGCCGATACCAACACCGAGCATTTACCTCCCCTTTGGGGGCTAGGTATTTCACCTCCCAGGACGAGGCTACTTCCAAAGTCGAGGATATGCCTCACAAAATGTCAGTCGAACACAACAGGTAGGACGAGCCCGAAGAACTCAGTCA